TAATAATTCTTCAAAATGAAAATGACTTTTTACAAAATAACTAGTGAATCCCATTTAGTAAAGGACAGATCCCTATCTTGTTATCTGTTATATGGAAGTTTCTGTGGAAACAAAGTTAAATATTTCCAAAACTGCTCTCTAAATATGGGTATAATTTATTGGTAGGTATTTACAAATCAGACAATGTAAGTATTACTTCACAAGGAGGTAGCCACTGTTCACCATACACAGGGCCGGCTCTAGGCACCAGCAAAACAAGCTGGTGCTTGGGGTGGCACATTTTTAGGGCGGCATGGCCGGCGCCAGAATGCCGCCCCTAAAAATGTGCCCCGGCTGCCCTAGCTCACCTCCGCTGCTGCTGCCACGGCGCGTGAAACAGCTGATTCGCGCGCCGCTGCTCCCCCTCCGTCCCAGACTTGAGAGTCTGGGAGGGAGGGGGAGAAGCGGCGCCCGCGCTGCGGCCGCTCGGGATCTCCCCCTCCCTCCCTCCCTCCTAGGCTTGAGAGCCTGGGGGGAGGAGGCAGGGCTGGGGATTTGGTGAAGGGGCGGAGTTGAGGCGGGGCCAGGGGTGGGGTAATTAAAGAACGGGGGAGGGGGGGCGGCCAAAATTGTTTTTGCTTTGGGCGGCAAAAATCCTAGAGCTGGCCCTGACCATACAGGGGAATTAAACACAAAAGAATGACCAGGAGTGCTTGTGGCACCTTAGAGACTAACAAATTTATCTGAGCTTAAGCTTCCGTGGACTACAGCCCAGTTCATCGGATGCATAGAATGGAACATATAGTAAGGAGATAAATATACACATACAGAGAAAATGAAAAGGTGGGAGTTGCTCTACCAACTCTAAAAGGCTAAATAATTAAGATGAGCAATTATCAGCAGGAGAAAAAAAACTTTTGTAGTGATAATCAAGATGTCCCATTTCAGACAGTTTGACAAGAAGGTGTGAGGATACGTAACATGGGGAAATAGATTCAATGTGTGTAATGGCTGTAGCCCACGAAAGCTTATGCTCAAATAAATTTGTTAGTCTCTAAGGTGCCACAAGTACTCCTGTTCTTTTTGTGGATACAGACTAACAGGGCTGCTACTCTGAAAAGAATGAATGGAATGCACAAATCAGTGAAAATACAACAGCAATGACATTATAGTGATTCATTAATTTAAGGTTTCAGTCTAGCACTGGAACTTGAAGCTAAGAGTTTTGGATCTTTCTTTAGCAAGTGCCTCTAAAATGCACTAAAATTGCTTTTATAAAAATTACACAGATTTTAACTACTTCTTGGCCTAACTACTACATTCTAACTACTACATTTCACTTATATGGTACTAATTAAGGCATAAAACATGCCCGGAATATAGGTGTTATCCCCATTTTACAGATTACGGAGAAAGACAAAGTCAAAATAATCAGAAGTGGCCATTGATTTTCAGTGTTCCCATCTTGATGACGACTTGGGATTGATTTTCAGAATTTTTGTGACCCCCAAACTCCACTTAATGTCAGTGGGAGCAATAGAATGCACAGGTCCTCTGAAAATCAAGTTCAAAATATCTAAGGTTACACACTCAAAAATGGAAGCATCCAATATTATTAACGTGCAAGTGACTTGACACACATGGAAACCAGCCTGGACTAGAACCCAGTTGTTCTGACTCCTAATTTCCTGCTCTAAACAATAAACAGAACTCCTTCCCCACAATAAATCACAGAGCCAAGTGCAGGGAAAGAGGCATAACCATCCTCCAAATAGGAGCTCAGATACCACAATAAAAGCATAAATTCCTAGACAGAGAGAAACTGGTGAGAATTTATGCATCGAAAGCCGCATTAATTTGCACCTGTTTCCTTACTGTAGGAAGGCTGGCCATAGCAGCCATTAATACCTGTACCTCACTCCAGACCCCTTGACCACATCCCAATATGCCCTGTGCTGGCTCCTCCAGTGCAGCACCTGTAGAGCAGCAACTGTGTTTCAAAGGTGCCAGAAGTTGGGTACTCAGTTTCCTCCCAACGCTTCCTCTGCCTGCTGGGAGTTTGTTAAGTGCATATTTACACAGCCAGCCAGAATTCTGCCCAATGAAAATAGCAACAACACAGTAGAAACATTTACAAAACAGGACATGATGAAAGACCCAGCAGACAGGGTCAACCAGCTCACTTTTCTGCCATGTTTGAGACACGATCTAAGAACGCAGTCATGGCTGCCACTCCCTGGGCTACTTCACACTACCGGTTGCCACAGGGTGACAATGAGAAGAGTCTGATTTTTGCAGCCCTTCAGAGCTACCTTCTGGCCGGATTGAAGAGCAGGCTTGGTTAGGAGGAGAGGGAAGCTGCCCATCCCAGACCACAAGAAAGGTGTCATCATGTCAGTCAAGGAGGGTAGCAAATTGTAGGGTGAACAGGATGTCACATGGCACCCAGGCCTAGGGCTTGTGACTGCGGAAACTATCATCAAATTAAAAACAAAGAGTATTTCAGCTAGGCCAGAGGCTCAGCAGCCATCTTCCAAAGTACCATACAGGACCTAAGATGTCAAGTTAGGGGAGCCCAACACTAAAACAGCCATGGACAGTGGCTTGGGATTGAGGTGCACTGGCAAAGCCCCTGACTAGAGGTCGCTGACCAAATTTGCTAGAAAAGAGTGCCAGCCTAGAACTCCAGACCTGGGTTCAATTCCCTGCTCTGCCATGTACTACCCCTGTGACCTTGGGCACATCACTTAGTCTCTCTCTCGATCTCAGCTCCCCATCTGTAACACTTCCCTACCTCACAGGTATGTTGTGAGGATAACTACATCAAAGATGATGAGGTGCTCAGATATTCTGGTAGTGGGGGCTATATGAGTACCTAAGATAGAAGTATTGCTGTGGACATGGCTATTCACTCCTTAGAAGTAGGCTCTGGGAACCTTCTAGAGATATTTAGTCCTGGGTGAACCGTTCTAGAATCCATTTGTGTAGGACTATTAGGCTCGGCATCCTCTCTAGTACTTAGTTCTGCCATGAGTGCAGGGGACTGGACTAGACAACCTCTCGAGGTCCCTTCCGTCCTATGTCTCCTATACCTGGATGCAGCTGCAGGCTTTTTAGGAGGAAAATACCATTGTCATCTGACAGGAGAAACCCTCATAGTGGGGTAGGGGGAAGAGAACAGTAGCTCTGATAGAATTGGTCTGGAAAAAACTCATTAGGTGTAGATCAATGTCCCGAGTCAGTATCTTGGGTGGGAACAGCTGTGCATAATGTCCACATGGGCATGGAGGTAATTAGGGTGGGAACAATAAACAGAGCATAAAAGAAATGTGATTACCAGAGTTTTAACCCAGTTAACATAACACCAAAAATACGTAATCATATACGGTCCGGACCAATCCTAAGGGGTGCTAGTCACCTGCTGAGATCTGGACCCAAATAAGTCAATGGGCATTGCTAATAAATTAGGATTTCTCCCACAGATTGTGGCAAGAAATTATCCCAAACTCAATAAGTAACTCTTTCATTTTTTTGCCAAATTCTTGCCTTGCTAAAACACACAATTCCATATCATGATATACAAACGTGATTCACAACTATATATGGGTTAAAATACATCCTCCCAAAACTCCACAACTCTAGTAGTCTCTTTATAACTAAATTACTATTTAAAATGAGACAATACCAATGAATAATAAACATTTATGCAGCAATGAAAACTTAAATACAGAACCAAGGCATGTCTCAGCGAGATAGCAAGCAGTGTATGCAGAGATTTTGCTGACATTTTGGAATTAGAAGGGAAAACTCAAGGATTAGAAGGAATAGCATTTGTTCCTCTCTTAAGAACATGATGTGATGCAAAGGTCAGTCTGTCTGCTGCCACCTCCCTGACACCACTAGCATGTCTCCCTTTTCTGCTTTTATCCCTCAGGAACTGGTACAGTCACATTAGTCTGGCCTGACTAGCCTGATACGTCACCCTGTCTGCCAGAAAAATGCAGCATATCCTAAAATGCAGAGCAGGAGGCCAAATGCACCAAATCAGCAGTCATGCTATTGCTAAGAGAAGAGGTTATGAGGCCACAGTGTGCACCTAGACAGCACGGATGACCCAGTATTCTGGGGGAAAGAGGGGAAAGCTAGGATTCATTCAAAAAGACCGCTTTCCAGTGCATCACCCACCTTCTCCCAGGTTCAAATGCCTGCAGAGGAGGTTCATGATATGTAGGGCTATTTTCAAAATACACCACACGCCTACACAGCAACCTCTATATAATGTTAATCAGTTCAGTTTGCTGCTGCTGCAGCAGACCGTCTGCTTTGCTCACACCATAGTACTCTAACATACTATCTGCTTACACTGCTGTCAAGCACATTGGGGCATCAACAGTAGAGAGGCAATCTGATCCATGCCAAAAACGTTAGTTCACTAGCAAAAATAAAACAAGTGGAGGAACTTACATTTCTCCTCTCACAGTGGAAAGCAACATATTTAAAGAACCATACAGATGCACATTCAAGTGAAATCTAAATACCGCATATTAAAAATGAAGTGCTGTCTCTGATGACATATATTTGCAGCCTAAAGACAAAAAATTCCATTTAGAATGAATTTCCTAGGTAGCCAGTTGCCTTCAAGGGTACAATCTAACTGATAATATATTCTCTGTACATTGCAGTTGAATATAGAACATGTCAACCTGCCCATCATCACACACACACACACACACACACACAAACTAACCACCTTCCCCCATATACAAAATACACTCATCACAACTAGCAGCCCTTCCACCACCAGAGACAAGCACAGAACACACCCACCCAGTCAACACCCCTATAAATACAAATCACATACCCCAAATACACAGCACACCTGACAACCAACACCCCGCCACCACACCAACTAAAAAACCAAGATCACCTCCTGCCACTACCAAAAATAGCAACACCCCCACCAAACACCACCTCCCTACACATACACACACACCCCTCCCAAAACACCACACTTTTCTAACCTGTGTGTCAAATCCATTTTCTAGAGAGTTACTCTTCCTGGGGGGGAACCCATCCCCTGCATTCTCATGTCCATGAGGTGATTTGAGGGGGATCTGGCTGGAATACGATGGCTTGGTCACCTCCACCTTGTTCCCAAACTTCAGGTAACAGGGTTGCGGGATGGTCCTGGCCGTCGGGACATGCAGGATGGGAGCAGCGCTGTGTACGGGTTTAGGTAGTCCCGATTTCATTTTGGAGGCCACTAGGATGGCTGGCATTTTCTCTTTCTGCTTTCCTAACACGTTTCTGTCAGCAGCAGCAACAGTAGTAGCAGCAGCAGCCAGGGAGAGTGAAAAGGCAGGTTTGGGAAGCTGCTATGGTAAAACAGCACTGCTTAGGAATCTCCAAAAACTGCTTAGAAAATAACAGAATGAACGAAACAGACACTTAAGCCTAAATTATCTCAGTGTCTTGTGAGCCTTCCACCTGTTTCCTCTAATTTTATTTTAATTCTGAACCACTGTCCTCCTTCCACTCCTCTTCTGTTGCTACTGCTATTTAACTTGTTCTTCCCTTTTGATTGCTGACTCCTATAATTTTCTTTCTTGGAAATGGGAGACTTTTACTTCATTATCTTGTCACTGCATCTCCAAAGTGAGGCAGCCTTTTGGAATAAAAAAAGAACCTGCTGCAGCATATGCAGTGTGTGTGATAGAGAGAGAGAGAGAGCGGCGAGCAAGCAGGATTTCCAGCTTAAGATGTCTTTCTTCAGTCTTAGCCAAGAAGCAGATGTAGCTCAGTGTGTTAATGACTGATGCCCTTGGATACAAGCCTTAGAGAATCAAGCTTCTTAGTCTTAATATCTGTGAGCAGGACAATGATGCTAGAGCAGAAGGAGAAACGCCCATTGATGACATTTAAATAAAAAAAATGCCAGTGGCAACAAAATTTCCTAGCTCTTCCAGTGATGATCGTGAAACACGGAGTAAAAATTCAGCTGTCAAATAGGAGGGACAGCAGCCACCACTTCATTTTAAACATCGGCACTGACACAGGCTTCAGCACTACTGCTAATATATTGTGTGTGTTAGAGGCAGCCTGCTGTGCCTACACCAAAGAAGGCTACAGAGATTAGCTGGAGTAGGGGAAGGTTGCAATCTGACAGTACAGTGAAACAGTGCAGCCCTCTGATTGGTCCTCCCAACTCAAATCAGAAACAAAATATCTCTGCAAAAGAGGCGTGGCTTCAACTCCTGTGACTGGCAGGGAACCGTGTGACTGTGCTCAAGTACAAAGCAGGATCTGTAACAGCTCTGCAGCAGCACTCACAGCTGAGCTGTGCTAATGTTAAAGATGCACTAGAGTTTCCTAACCATATTTTTTTTAAAAAGCATTTTCAAATAAAAACACCTGCGACTGAATCATCAGTCAATTTTTACTCACGCCTCATTGAGGAAAAAAAACCCTGAAAAGGGTAAAGGAGTTTCTCTGAATAAGGGCTTACTAATTTAACCTGTCAGCAGTACTTTGCACATGTAGAGCACCTTGCATTTAAGGATCTCCAAGTGTAATGCTCTACCCTGATACATAGAGTACATGAGCTATTACAGCCCCAAACTGGGGAGCCTGGGCTCTCTAGCTCAAGTTGTATCATCTTATGCTTTATCTTTGGAGGTCTCCAGATCAATTCCTAGCAAGTTAGGCCAAGTTGATGGCCATCGGGCCAACAGTTGACAAAGGTTGTAAGGGATAATTAGTCCCATTTTACAGCAAGATACTGGAAGAGCTAAGCAACTTGCTCCAGGTCACATATGGGTAACTGGCATCATTAAAAATAAAACCCACCTCCTGTTCTAACCCCTATCCACAACACTTCCCACCTAACATTTGTATGTAAAACAATCCCTACAGACTGTCTCTTTGAACAGATAGCCTAAGCTCAGATCATATTAAACTGTGAAGTATTTTTGCAAGAGGTTTCATATCTAGTACCCAGTAGGTTATTTATAGACAAATACAAAGCCTTGACATGCTATCCTTGCAAACTCCTGTCTCTCCTGCTTGGCACTTGCTACTGACTCCATAATTAAAGTGAGTTATGTGATGCTTCTGTAATTTTGCACAAAGTCAACATGTTAAATATTTATTTTGATTTTGACACCCTGACCCTCAAATACACTGGCTCTGTGGGATGCTTTGCATTAACTCTAAGTGGGTAATTTTTTATCAGTAAATGTATTTTCCCTCTAGTCTCTTTATCCACTAATCTCAGATTACAAACTGCTCATCTTTATTCTTCCATCTCACTGAGATAGGCCTTCCAATGTTTTCTCTCCTGCCACAGCATGAAGCACAGCTTCTGGCTAGAAATTACTGTGAAGAAAAATTTAAGCATAAAACTTGACAACCAACGTCAGATTTATCACACTAAAGGAATGGCAGTTGTGGGAACTAAAACTTATTTAATGCTACTAATTTTAGTTTTGTTGCAATATTCATAAGCTATTGAAGAAGCAGAAAAGGTAACATATCTTTATTTTTCGTCTTTTGCTTATGAGTTTGATTAGATTCAGTGCATCTTCCCCCTATTTCATAGGATTCTGCCAATTTTCGGGGATCTGTCTGCATCCTGAAAAGCTAACTACCTACCTTGCAGATACAAAGAAATATACAAAATTAATTTGAGTAAAGAAAAATAAATACTTTCAGTGCTACTTTTTTAATGGCTATTGAATGTCATGTTTGTCGAAGATGGTAGATTGAATTCCCTAGTGAAGGAATCTTATATTTATTCCCTAGAATGGCCATGCTCATGGACAACAACAGGTCAAGTTTCCACAGAATACGCCCTATTGTCTCTATCTTTACCTACTGGAATAACTCTAGAATCCAATCCAGGTCTTCTGCTGAATGCCAGTTGTTTTGATGGTTTAATGATGTGGACACCTATCCACCAGGATCTAACCTGAATTCCATATAGGCAACTTAACAGCCAACAAATGGAAATACCTTACAGTCTCTGCTTCTGTTATGGGTCACATACGGACTAGGGACCTAAAAGTAGAAACGTCTATTATTAATCCCTTGTAATCTAGGCACCCTTTGTGTGTGTCTCTGTTGTTACTATTTTACCAGATCCAAATGATGCAACCCAATGTCACTGAGATACAGTGTCCTGCTGGCAAGACACAATGTCATCACGTCACAAAATGATGTCATAACATTTTAACACGTCACATTACAGGCTACATTTGCAAAGGTGGAGAATCTGAAGTTTTATCCCTCTGCCTTGAACCATCTTTGGAGATTATTAGTTATTTTCAGTTGTTCCTTAAGGCTTGGATTTTCAAATGTGCCTATTTACAACAGAAAGTCAATGGGAGTTGGGCATCTAACTCACTTAGCCTCCTTAGAAAAACAATTTAGGCTGGGATTTTCAATCACCCAATTTCAATACCTTGGTTAATTTCCAATACTAAAGAAAGAATAAACTATGATTAAAAGGCGATATTTCAGTAAAAATCATCCAAATCAAAAACCATGAACCTTATCTTCCCTGGAGATTGCCACATGTGTCAGACTGGCCCCTACCCATGCACACAAAGGGAAAAGGTGAAAGTGCAAGAAACCTTTTAACTCAATTCTCTTGTGCAGGGCCCATTCCAGCATCCGTTCCATGTTTGTCTAGGCCCTCCTTCCCCTGCACAACACCCTTCTTAGTCCCCTCTTTCATTCCTACAGTCGTGATCATGGTCATCACCTGTTTGTGAAGATCCTTTGGGTGAATCTCCTACATGAGCCGAAAAACTAGGCAGTAAGTCAAAGGGCAGCTTCTCAAGGAGGGGAGTTAGGGAATGGAATGTCTGCCATTAACAGAGAATCATGGATGCCCCCTGGCTGCTGTGTGGTGTACTGAAGCAGTCTTCTAGGCAGCACTAGCCAAGAAGGGGATGATCAGGGCTTCTGGGAGCCCAAGAAGGTCTGCCACAAACTTAAATACCTTCCCTTCATAGCAAGAAGCCCCAGAGAGGGTGACAGGTAGAATTAACACTTTCCTGTGCTAGCTTCAGAGAGTCTGTTCCTGAACACATGTAGTGTTTGTTTAATCTCTCTCACCCCAATGAGGTATGTACTGAATTTGGAGAAGCACCTAGACTCTGAGGCCACAGTCTTTAACTTGGAATTGCCAGACTTTCTAACTTTTGTAGTTTTGGACAAACCTACAGTATTCTAATAAGGGCTTCCCTTCTTTTTGCCCCTCTATTTGGAATTTGGAAAGAGCATGGTTTGGTGTCCAAAATCTCTGTGGGAACTATATCAGTTCCTGTACTTTGTGTATGCCTCCTGTGTGCTTCCTTTTATAGAATATGAGACGATTACATTCCTTTTAAAAAAACAACAAGCATAGCAATTCTCCTATAGTTTAAGCTTTAATAATTAACTTCACCTCCAGTGGCAACAACGGTGCTAGGATGACCTTACAATAAGTTACAGTAATTCATGTTATGACCAAGCTGCCTCTTCTGTGTATTTAAGGTGCAGGAGTGTTTTCTGTAGTAAGGAAAAATGGGTTATAATGGTTAAAACCTAACTCCCATATCATGAGGGGTCACACTGTGCAGATCCTCCACCACCTGAGGGCATGAGGACTATGTTTTACCATATGACTCATGACAGTAACAAAAATAATCTGTGGGGGGGACTCTGTATGAGGCCATAAATTAGACTGAAGATGGGCTATGGGTCAAACAATGCTGCTTTTCCAGTATAAATGTATGCTTCCCGTGTCAAAATTAATTGTCCTGACTTTGGCTTTTATTCATGCATTTCTAATGTTATGAAAAATGCTCTTAATTAAAGCTGGTTGACAAATTAGGGGGGTAATTTTCAGAAGAAATTCAAATATTGAAAATATTTGGCTGAAAAATGCAATATTTTAATTTGGAAATGTCACAATGGTTGATGGGAGTTGTCATTTGGGTGCCTCATGCTCTCATTCTTCTCTAGAGACGGAGTTCTCTGATTGGACTACATCTCCCATGATGCATGATGGTCTTCTCTCTTGCAGAGGGGAGCTGTCTTTGGCTATGGTATCTCCATAGAGGACAATGAGGACACAAGGCAACTGAGCTACAAATCCCATGAGGCACCGCAGCTGCATTTCCAAATCAAAATAGTGTAGCTTTTGGCTGAAGTATTTTGCTTTTCAGGCATCTGATTATTTGACATAAATAAATACATTTTCTGTGGGGGGAAAAAAAGACATTTTTAGTGAAAAATTTCACTTATCTGAAAACCCAATCTTCCAGTGAAAAATTTTTTGACTAGCCCTACTCTTAACATATAATGTTTGCAAAAATAAATCAGTGAACAGAAAAAAAAAAATCAAGTTTCCTACAGTGGATCCAACTGGACCCTAAGAAACCGAAAGAGACGTTATTTCTGTCAGACCTATGTAAAATTAATGTTTTGGGGCTCCCTCTGCTGCTGGTGCAGCATAGATTAACCAAGAAGCACCGTCCTCAGACTTGAGATGAAAGCAAACGCTGATGCTGGTGCACCAGGATGTTTCAGGCATAACAAGAAGCTTTATGATATGCAGTTGTTAAACACAAACAGCTGTGTTGATTTCAGCTCCATCCAAAAACACAAGGGTCACGGGTGTGGAGGGAATGACAATCAAAATCTGACATACATAAATGGACACAATGTGCAGGGATTTTATGTTCCTTTTTCATTCTCCTTATAGGACATTTTACAAACAGTGGGTCTGATTCTTCTCTCACCAGTGAAAATCGTCTTATTCAATGAAGGCAACAGATTTGCACCAGTGTAAGTGAAAGGGGAATCAGAAAAAGTAAAAATAAATAATAATAATAATAATTAATAATATTGCCTTGGCTAAGTGTGCTGATAATTCAGCAATGATGATTGAGCTTAACTCATTCACCAGGTTAAAGATACCATCATCAATATTTTCTTTTTCCTTGAGTCATTTATGGAACTCTCTCAAATCTCAGCCTAATCACTTAAGTCTGTGTAAAACTACCTAAAATGTCATCATCTGCCACCAAAATTGTTCCCGCAAAAGCTCTCTTTTCAAAATTTACAGTTGCCAGAAGACTAGTTTTCC